CACCACTTTAACAGTGCACAAATACCCACTCAACAAACCCGTGTTTATTGCTTAAGGACAAACCTCTCTTGACAAGGCAAACACACTGAAACATGCATGGAACATCAACATACAAGAAAAGTATCAATATTAGGATTGAAACAGTATCTTATTATTAAGACAATATCTGAACACAACACCAGAAAAGCAGCCCTCGTTTGTGAAGGCCACAGATTGTAATTTTTCAACTTTTGAGACCAAGTTCAGTAGTCAAGGACATCTTTTCATGGCTCTAGGCTCTGCGGCAAAGTCCCCATTGTACAGGAGGAAACCCTGGCTGAATGAAAAGAGGAAAGACACCATCACATGATCACTATTATAAAAATCCTACAATGAATCATCTAACATTCCAGTGGTGTCTGTGCCCTTGCCACACACACAGTGGAATCATCTGAGGAAATATCCTCCTGACAGACCACACACACACACAGCTGTTACTGAACACTACTGTAACAACACAGGTGCAATGAAAAGCACGTTAGCTTAACACACTGGAACACCTTCCAACCATGAATGTTTATTCATTTCATGTTATCTAGCTAATTTAAATAGTAAGAATAGTTTGTCCACAGGCACTGCTAACCAGCTAGTTACAAACCAGCTACAAAGAAAACTGGGACCACGGCTTGCGTTTAAACAACGTGAAATACTGTCTAAAGGCTCTGGTAGCTCAATGGCCAACATCAGCGTTTCCCCACGTATGATTCAGTCTATTTGTTCACCCATATCAGGCAGAGACTGTACATTAATCCTCCGCGGTCACACGCTCTCTGTCTCGGCTCGCTGAATGACTTCGAGCTGTCACCACGGTTGCTTGTAGATTAGCTAGTTAGCTAGCTCGGCTAAGGCGCGACACCAAGTAAACTGTGGAAGTTACTGTTTACTTACGGGCATGCTATCTCGTCAATTTCCTGGTGTCGCTGTCCTCTGTCGTTCCAACAAGACAAGTAAAAGGATATCAATTCGCTACTCAATAAATCTCCTCAATAATTCATCAACATCAGCTCCTTCCATCTTCATTACTTTCTCCACTCAGACTACTCTAGACTAGGAGACTCGGTCTCGACGGAGTGACAGACGTCTAAACCAATGGGTGAGTGGTATATGATCCAGTCGCAACAACCCCCAAATGCAGCATCCAATCAAATTAGACTCTAGGAGGCATGTTAATAATTTCCACCACCGAGGTAGGTTGTCGCTGTCAGTCACTGCTCTTTGACAGCAATTATCTTCCACTGATGCTTTTATTGATCACCAAATAAGTTATTTATTGACATGTTATACTATAGAATTATTGTAAGAACAAATCATTATACCGAATCATATACATTGCAGCTGAGAAATGATTAGCCAATACATGTATTCAATTAGTTTAATTAAAATATATTATTTAGATTTAAACTGTAAACATAATTTGTAACATTCAAAAAACCATTGCATCGAACAAACATGGAATTAAAGTCATTATGGACATATTTATATGTGTTTTTAATAAACACATATAATTATGTTTTTATTACATTTTAACTTCCAAACTTTCTCATATGGAAATGAACAAACCATCCTGCACACATTTCATGAAAAATAAACCTGTAAAGATTAGGGCAAGAGTACAACTCTAAAAATATCTGACGGATAAATAATGCATGACCACTTGACAATGACCTCGAGAACAATGGATTTTCCAAAATTAATTATCAAGATGGCACATGACCCTGTGTTTTCATGCAAATAACAGATGGAAAGCTGGGTTTTAATCAGTTTATAAATACATGGGCTTTTTTGGATAATAATCAGGAAATCTGCCTCATGTCCTATTGCCATTGCATCTGTGGGGCACTCTGTCCTGTCCTTTGTACATTATAGAAGATATGTAGTATAATCCTATGCAAGTCACACTCACAATTATCCTGTTTAAGAAAAGCCAAAGAACAATCTCTCCTTGTCGCCCAAATGTTGCAAATTCAAGTGTCTAATCAGGTAGAAAAGTGTGTAATATATGTTTTTTATTGGTATTGGAATATTGGGAATTTACATTCATGTAGTGCATTTTAGAGAAACAAAATAATTGGAGGAATATAAATTGAGGTGCAACCCATGGAAATGTAAAGTGATTCTGCAATGCCACCTAATGTTAGTGGGTAAGATTACACCCTGCAAGGAAAATAATGTAAGTCATTCTACAGACATCATCGTTTAAATATAAAAATAAGTCTAAAAAACCTGAGACTTTTTATTAAAAAAATGATAAAACATTTAAAAAAAGATATCATTGTAAAACTCTGTGTACTGATAATAAAGGTGATGTAAGGTGCTGCAAAGCAAAGACTTGGATTATTTAAATGCATGCTGTTCTGTGTGTGCCTTATTGTTTTTAAATGTTGTGTAAATGGTGGATTTAAAGTGGACAACTAAAAAAACATTAAAGATAAGCCCCTGCTATCTGTGCAGCCTCAGTGAAGACTTCCCCGGCCCGTTGTCTGTATCCTAGTGCAAACTCCTTCGCCCTCCTCACTTCTTTCAGGTTCTCCTCCAGGTTCTCACTCAGCCTGCCATGCTCCTGGTAAGTTGCTGCAGCCCCCTTCACTTGTTCAGCCATTTGATCCTTGCTACGGAGCAGCCAGCCAATTAACTCTTGAAGTGTGGTGCCCTTTGAGATGGTGGCTTTGGCACTCGCCGAAATGCCCTTCACTTCATTCTGAGCAAATTGCAGATGTGGAGGCAGTGGTTCCTCATCACTTTCATCCACACGAACCACATTGAGGGAGAATTCGTATCCCTTTATCTGAAGTGAGACCCTGTACTTGGCCTCTGGAAGTGGAGAGTAATGGAGATTAAAATACAGAAACCAAGAAAACCGAAGCAAGGGAAATCTGCCATCAAGTTTTCTCCACTTGCAGGGAGTGTGTCACTTACTGTGCTCGTCTCTGATCATCCCCACACATTCGGTTAAAGCCAGAGGGTCATTGTGGTTACAGCTGTAGCTCTGGCGCAGGTTTCTGATATTTCGGACCATGGCCTCATATCGCTCGTGCTGTTCATTGAAAGTCTCTGCCATGTCAGAAAACCTCTGGTCCAACTCTGGCACACACACTCGCCTCATCACCAGCCTGCCAATCCGCTTTACGGTCTGTGCATCTGGAGGGAAAAGAATGTCACACATCAGGCACAGACACACAGAAAAGAACACATGTGGTTCCAGTTCACTTACAGTTGTATGCATTGGAAGTGTAAAGGTCTGAAAGAAATGTACCACTGTGTGCTGACCGGCTCTGCCTGGCTGATCCAGCTTCATTCAGATCTGATGGTCCAGGGTGCAGGAGAGGCTGTCTCTAAAATATAAAGCAGACACGCTTTCTTTACATATCATTTATTTTACTGGCACTTTTTAGAAAGACACGCAAAGCACTAATAAGGCTGGACACTTGTAATGACTTTGTTATAAACTCAATGCACCAACCAATGTTTTGGAGGAAAACAAATATATATATATATAAATGTGTTTCCTACCTTATTAATCATTGAGACATTATTATACTTTCAAGTTATATTATATAAAGGGATGGGACAATATCAATTTATGTGTGAAAACAAATCTAAATAATAGTCGAATATATACTTTATTGGGACAATAATGAATGTCTTCATGATTTTAAAATATACCTTTATTATTATTTTTATTTTTTTTCATTTCATTTCAAACCTTTATTTAACGAGATTGGTCCCATTGAGATCATAGATCTCTTTTTCAAGGGAGACCTGCAGCATATAGGTTCCACATGAAACATAAAACAATAAAGGACATCATACATTATATTTACAGGATACATTTACATAGTTATAGACATTTACAAGTGCCCATAGTATCAACGAGCATTTCATTTAGCCTAGCTTTAAAAACATGCAGATGAATGATATTGCTCAGTTTCAATTCTTGCTGAAGATTGTTCCAAGCAAGTGGAGCTGCCTTTATGAGAGAAAGAGCAGGCTAACACTTCTTGTTGTTGTTGTTGTCGTTGTTGTTTATTAGGCTACATTGTATTTGTGCAGAGAGACATGTGATTTACGATTACATTATTTAAGATTGGTTGCTTTTGTGTGTCATGTATGTGATACAAGAAAAAAAAACGTGTTTCCAGTGTGTTTCGTAGCTTCTCTAAGAGTTTTAAGATAATCCTTTTATACAATTATCGAAAATGAGTCTTCTAGTCTTGTTATACAACATGAAAATAGTTTAACATGGAACATCCAATGACAATTATATACAATACATTATTATTTAAAGCATAACATCTTTATAAAGGGAGTAGTCCCCATAATTTTAACATTAAAAGTAGTAATAGTTCAATCTATTAATCTCACAACAGCTAAACAATGATCAAGTGAATCGTTTGAACTCGAATAGGAGGCGTTAACATTTACATTAAAGTCAATAAACACGAACCTCGTCGGCGGAGTCTCCACTTGAGAAGCAACAGCAGAGAAAACGGAGCATTTTCCTGCTGCTCTGGGGTCTCTCAATTTGTTTTCAGGTCAGTAATTTCTGACAATGCATTTGGAGTCTGCACATACCAACTGACGTCAACGTCACGCGACTCTATAAAACTTTTCTTCCTGGTTATGATTACTGGACAAGTGCACATATATGAGCATGTCAGACAGGTGCACCTACAGGTGAGCTGCAGCGAGATCAACAACACAAATCTGCTGTTGTTGCTATTGGCTGTTTTAGATCCTTGGATATCGAAAATGTGTCTTTCCAAGTGCTTGAATAGCTCTGAGTATTTTTGTTGTGAAAAGAAAACCCAACAATGCCCGCTAAAATAAATTAAAATATATGTGTAATTGATGAATAAATCAGTTCCGCAATCCTGCAGGTGCAAGTGTAAATTCTCACATCTGACGGTAGGGGGCGACGGCGAGCATCTTCAACCAAAGCACAAACCGTAGAAGAAGAAAACAACCACAACCCAAGCTAAAGTCTGCAGATGTAGCTTAACAAATACACAATTTTTATCATTTTGTATGTACAGAAAGTTATGTTTTATGATTTTATCTCTAAGAGTCGAAGCTGTTGACACATTTCGGCTTTTTTAGTTTATTTAAAAACAACAAGCTTCCTGCTAATCAGTTGCTGAGCGACAACAAAGAGGCTGCAACTGCACACACTGCTGGCAGTGGTGCAGAAAGAGTCATTTCATAGAACAGATCACATTAATCTGGTTGACATGACGGGGGTGGCCTCTCCAGAGAAGTCGCCAGGCGCCAAGAAGAAGAGCGAGAGGAAGTGTGCCATCAAGGAGGAGCACAGACAGCTGTCCGGTATCATGGGAGTCATGAACAACCTAAGGAAACAGGTATGTGTGTGTGTGTGTGTGTGTGTGTGTGTGTGTGTGTGTGTTGTGTGGTGTGTGGTGTGTGTGGTGTGTGGTGTGTGTGTGTGGTGTGTGTCCTTCCTTGTCCTAATGCTTTCTAACTGTGTATGCTTTTTTCACACACATGTATACTGTAATACACCTGATGTGCAATAACACTGCCTGTAAATTTGACAATAATATATGTGCAATATACAATCATTTGCAATATACCCTCGTGCAATTCACGCTTTCTTTTTCTTTAAATGTATTTACAATCTGTAAAGAGTACCAGCAACCTTTTTAATTGAATATGGTCACTTTAAAAATATATATTGCTTCTTATTTTTACCATGGTGTACTTATCTGTTATTAATGTTGAATTATTGTCTTTTTTATTTAATATGTAAACCATTTTTTTCTTTACTTTATCTGCACTATACTTCTGCTGTTGTAATGCTGTACATTTCCCCGTTGCGGGACAAATAGGGAATTCTGACAGATTTTCCTCTTCAGGGTACCCTCTGCGATGTGACCCTGATGGTTCAGGGGAAACACTTTCATGCCCACAGGGTAGTGTTGGCAGCTGCCAGCCACTTCTTCAGTCTCATGTTTACCAGTAAGTGTCTACAACGAAACACAGAACTTTTTTGACAGGACAGCCACTTAATATTTTGTACAACTAGCCCAAGATATTACTGGAGATAGTTAATGGACACACCATTGCCTGCTGTGCCAAAACACTGGCTTTCGTTAACATGCTCCACATACTTAGAATGTGCTTCAACAAAAAGCCTACATTGTGATTAATGCTAAGACAATTCCCGATTTTAAATGCATATCTTCTTGGTTTTGAATTGGTTTTTGGTTTTATTTATATAACCATGTATGTTTTTATTATTGTTGTTTGGTTTTAGTCTGGTCTGCATTTATCGTATGTACCTCTGCAACATAAAAACATAGTGATAAAATGCCTCTGTTGCTACATGAGATTTAGAACGGAATATAATATTTTTGGAAAGTCACAATATTATTTAAGCAGTGGTCTTACCAAGCTGTTGCTAGGCATAACAAGAAACTTTATCTGCCATGCATGGTTGGTAGGTTTCTGTTTTCATTGAAATATAAATCTATTTTTCCTTACCTCTAGCCAGAATGATGGAGTCGACCTCCCACGAGGTGGAGCTCAGGAGTGCTGAGCCAGAGATCATTGAACTTTTGATTGAATTTATCTACACAGCTCGGTAAGCGTATTGGCTAAAAGTATAGAGAGTATATTGTGAAATATAGCAGTATTGATTTAAGGCATATGGGGCAACTTAAAATGTAATGTGACCAGAGGCCTGTACTACGAAGCCGGATTTTCGCTTAGCGAGTTAACTTCAGGGAAAACTTTGGGTTTCCGATCCTACGACGCTGGTTCACTCCTTAGCGGGCTAGAACTCCATGGTAACTTATGCTGAACGGCTAGCCTGGTCCGGAGCAGGTTAGGTTCCAGGATAAGAGATCTACTCAGTGAAAGCACCGCCTGCTGACCAATCAGAGCTGAGTGTGCAGAGTTTATAGCGATCAAGTCATATTACAGGATAAAGGAAATACAGTTTAGACTGCCGTTGCAGGAAAGACGGCCGGCAAAAATCAACTGACTGTGTGAACGCGAAAATGAATAGAATATNACACCCTGGCTTCATGCGCATGCCTGCTCCGGTGTGTGTTCCCCTCAACCGGGTCCGTGTGGAAACATATAACAACTATTGTAACATCTACTAAATGTAGCTACAGCATACAAATACAGAAAGTAATGTAGGCCTAATTCTCCGTCTGAATGTGGTGCACTTTTGCTAAATGTTTCGACAAATTGCTCGTGTTACCGCCCTTACATGCTAAACTCTTATGGCACTTTTGGCAACGAGCATTGTCCTCATCCAGACGGGTAAAGTTGAACCAGACCTNCGTCTGAATGTGGTGCACTTTTGCTAAATGTTTCGACAAATTGCTCGTGTTACCGCCCTTACATGCTAAACTCTTATGGCACTTTTGGTAACGAGCATTGTCCACATCGAGACGGGTAAAGTTTAACCCACAACTCAGAGGTCTCTCCGCCATCTCCTCCGTGTGTGTGTGTGTGTGTGTGTGCGCGCGTGTGCGTGTGTGCGTGTGCGCGCGCGTGTGTGTGTGTGCGTGTGTGTGTGTGTGTGTTGCTGCTGCATGTAGCAGCTGTGTGTGTGTAAACTGCCCCGCCCCCTCGCAAGCAGACGGGGGAGAGAGATATCTCGCCTGGATTGGAAAGATCGAAAATACAAAAAATAATCATAGACGCATTTTTTGCATATTAGAAACGGAGTTGGCGTTACTAAAACTGTAATGTAATGTTTGTGTAACAATAATAGGCTACATATGACATATATTTTTTACATGTCTCCAGTAGCGATAAAAAGACCGATAACGTTGGAGCTTAATGGTACCACAGTCTTTAATAATTCAGCCCTGAGGCCCGGTACCCATCCCTACACATGAGTGGCTCGGCGGCCACAGGTTGTTTATCCTTGACAGTCGCACATGGGCACACACTGAGAGTCTTTTCATATTCAGCAAATGTGTTCACGCTAAACAGCAGACCTCAAGAAGAAATAAGACTTTCATTCACTCACGGCAAAACTTACTTTACTTACTAATTTATTCACGGTAAAAAAAATGCACCCCCTATTCCATTGTCATGATGGACCCACAGCTACGCCACTGGTATGAGGCATGGCTACAATGGGTGAACTGTTTGGTATTTTAAGCAAAAAACTTCACAGACATGTTTTGTATAGGTATGGCCCTACAATATTTCCAATATAGCATAATAGGTCCACTTTAAGGTTTCATAATGACACAATGCCTGTTTTCTTATTCATCCATTTCCTCCCACATCCTCATCCATTACATATCCCTTATTCTATGTAGGTCCTTGTTAATTGCAATTGGTCTTGGCCTGGAGAGGTTACGAGTGTTCCAGCTCTCTGAATGCAGTGAATGAATGTGGCTTGTTGACTCCAAGTCGCGCTGGAGTGTGCATTCAGAATACCAGAATGCCAAGTCCATTAGAGTGAGAAGGGTTCATTTGTCACAGTTTCCATTGGTGTGGCTGTAATGACCAGGTAGCTGATGAATGGCCTGACCTTTTCCTCCCCCCTTATAATCAAGTGTTCCCAGTAGATTCCTAAGCCTAATTTGTGGATGTCTTGGATGCTGACACAGTCTGGTATGACACAAGCTTCACGGTATTCAGAAACTGAAACGAATGTTACATTTAAATATGGTACGGTGGGGTCATACAGCAACCCTGACAAGCTTAGGATTTCTCCATATACTGTGAGTTGTGTCTGCATGTGGCTCTAGTAAGAGCAAACGTATTGCAAAGAATGTTGTGTGCTTAAAAAATAAATAAAAATTAAATGTATTAGTAAACAGTGTGTTTATCTGTTCCTACTGTAAGCTGAACAAGTTAAAACATGCCCAGATAATTAGCTTTATATAAACTAAAGGTGTAGCGCTCCATTGATATTTATTGATATATCAATTCAATGATCAAAACGCCAATATCGTACATTTAAAAAAACGATGAATGTCATCCTAAGAGAGGCCAATATATTGAGTAAATAACAACAACGGCTCAGGCTCACTTAAGGCGTGCTGCCCTTGTACTTCTTTTCACTAAGTGAAAAGGGTAGGATGTACAGATGGCTCTTCACAGCTTATGATTTCCACATATAGGCCTACTGGTGGACAAACTTCTAACAAATACAATTCCATAATGCTGTTTCTATAAACTGCGTTGTTAAGCTGTGCTTTAGTCCGAAAGCTAAGATGTAAAGTTCCACTTTTCACCTCTACAACAGGGAAGGTGAAGTGTTCCAATTGAGCTGTCTGTCATATTTACTATGCATGCCATAACCTCCACACAAATCACGTGTCCCCTCCCCATCGTTCCATCACCAACTCATGTCATGTATGGATTTGGCGGCTGTGGATGACTTACAGTGGTGGTTGAAGCAATCAATGCACATTATGGAGTAAGTTATGCTGTCATTACAGGGGCTGAAGTGAGTTGTCATGCAGGAGGAGGTACACTTTATCAGAATAGATTAAAACAAGTAAGTCAGAAAAAGTACACACCAGTGACTTATAGATACTACGCAAAGTCAGAAGGCTGCTGTTCTGCCCTGCAGGCGCCGCGCTGTTCCTCCCTAATTCTATCATTCCAGATGATCGAGCCCAGAGCGAAACACATGGAGGATTATGCTCCGTGTTCGATCGTGAGCGGGCAGGAAACCAAGAAATCAGCATGTGTGCGGGCTGACTGGCAAGTTCACCATCATCCAGGGAATACAAGTACCTGGCAACAGCACAAAAATGAATGTTTAAAAATAAAAAAACAAGCCAAAGAACAGCATGTCTGTCCATGTGATAAGGCCCTGCTGGGGACAGTGGAAATTAAGAGGACATAATACAGTCACTTAAATGTGTGTTATCTCTGAGACAGTGACACTGTGCTGAGTCTATCCAACCTGTTCTGTTTGTTGTGTTGGACTTGTATTTGCTAAATCTTGAATATATAGACACAGCATGTACAGAAATAAATGTACAGTGGAAGGAGAAAGAGCTGACCGGCTCAGGTAAGAAATGTAGAGACGGGGGAGGAGAAGTTCAATTGAAGGGACAAAAATAGGACAAGTACACAAAGCTTAGATTCTCTTCCCCTCACAGAGCGAGAAACAGCTGACTGAAACCCATTTCCAGTCTTTCCATGCGCAGAGAGGAAACACCATTTGCATTTCATTTCAATAATATCTTGAAAGCTTTTCCCATACTAAGTTATGCCTTGGCACTTATAAATAATTAAATCATTACACTAATGACTTCAAATACTTCAAATAGCATTCGTCTTTTTTGTACTTCCTTTACGAACAATTGGAACAGAGCACAAATGTTTTTGATATCATTTTATTTTTCATTAAAGTCAGAATTTGTAACAGCCAAAAGGAACTTCAATATTCAATCTTCAGTGTTGTTTAATCCTCACTAACATGAAAACAGACCTCTTTGTGGCTTATTGTTATGAGCAGAGAGCCTGCCAAGAAACAATATGACTTGAATATGCTTTTCAAATGTCATTTATTCCAGCTCTGCAAAGTGCTGTGATCTGAATAGCTAACTAGCATAGATCTGGTTTCAGACAGTACCACTCCTTCACACATCAACCCTCTCACACACACACACACACACACACACACACACACACACACACACACACACACACACACACACACACACACACACACACACACACACACACACACACACACACACACACACACACACACACACACACACACACACACACGCACACACACACACTGTACAAACACCCTCTTGCAGATATTAGTGGCAGCACTCTATGTGATCTGCAGATTCGCTCCCCAGTGACGGCAGTGAGCAGGAAGTGGGGGGTGCAGAAGCATGCATACTAATATCGGTATATAGGTATACTGTGTATGTATATAAAGTAGTGGATTGCCAAGTTATTCACGTTATTTATCAATCAGCTATGACTCATGGAGTTTCACAAATTCATTGATATAGTTTTGAAAATACGATACATGAGATAAGTTAGTTATATAACCACATTAATGTTATAATAATAATAATAATAATAATAATAATAATAGATAATGTTACCACATATGTCTAGTTTAGCCATTTCTAATACTGTTGTTTCTCTATTGGATCAATTTTATTTAGTTTGGTTCCCAGATGATGAACTAAGGAGGACATTATATAACCATTGACTTTGAAACTAAAGATATATCTTAAGTTATAGGTTGATTAATGGATGAATCGCCATGCAATTGCGATATTGAGAACATTTTGTCTAATATTTCTGTTTATGACCGAATACCTGAATTGAATGACGTTCTAATCATCCTCATCTGTACTTTATCTAAAATGCTAATTAGCAAATGTTAGAGTCCTGCTAAATCTCAGCATGTTGGCAAAGTCATTGTAAACATGTTCTAATGAGCAAATGTTGGCATGCCAAAAGGCTAAACTAAGATGATGAATGAGTGCAACTAACCATTCGCTTGTTAGCAAAGTCATGTTAGCATGTTGCTATGCAAGCTTAAGCATTTTGTTTACGGTACTGCAGTGAGTAAGAGCTGCAAGCATACCTGCAGATCACCTGCCAAGTCTTGTCAAA